GAAATTTTTTAGCAATCGAAATTAATTATGAGATCTATAACAAAGAACTTCTTGCAATTGTGAATTCTTTTCAAGAATAGTGTCATTATTTAGAAGACACTTCAAGTCAAATCACCATATATATAAATCACAAAAAATTCAAGTATTTCATGTTAGCACATATTTTGAATGGTCGCTAGGCTTGTTGGAGCATGCCTTTGTTAAGATTCGAGTTTAATATCACTTATTGGCAAGGAAAATAATAAGGTTTGTTTGATGTCCTTTAAGATGTTTTTATATTACACCAAAAGAAGAAGAAGGAACTTTTGACCAACAAAAGATAATTTTACTAAAGCCAAAATAATTTCATCTCCAAGCAATAAGATTAACATTGACTATTGATTTGGCTTTTTATAAGGAAATCCAAGCAAATATGTCCTTAGACCTTCTTGTTCATGATATTAAAAATAATTCCTCTAACTCTCAAGATACTTCCAAGTTTGAGTTTAAGGAGAACCTACTATATTTTGAAGGATGCTTATATGTTCCAAAAAGAGAAGCATGATTATGTACTCTTGAAGCTCATCACAATTTCCTTGCAGCATGATATTTTGGATATAATAAGACTTTAGAGCTTATTTTCAGAGATTTTTGGTAGCCTCAAATGTGGAAGGCTGTTAAAGAATTTGTACAAACATGTGATGTTTGTTTAAGATCAAAAACTCCTTGCCATTGATCTTATGGACTCCTCCAACCATTATCTATACCTGAATAACCATGGTCTTTTGTCTCTATGGATTTTATCATGGATCTTTCAATTTCAAGTTCTTATGATTTCATATTCATGATTTTAGATCATTTTTTCAAGATGGCACATTTGTATCATTTAAAAATTTTATTAGAAGTGAAGGAATAGCTAAATTCTTCCCTGACAACATCTATTGCTATTATGGATTACCAAGGGATGTTATATTAAAAGAAAAACATAGTTTTTATTAAGATTTTAGATAATTATTTTCAAGATATTGAAGGTGGATATAAAACTATCTTCGACTTTCTACCCTCAAATTGATGGACAAATAAAATGGATAAATCAAGTTTTAGAGCAATATTTGAGGTATATTATTAAGTATCAACAAGATGATTGGATGACTCTTTTATCATTGGTAGAGTTTGCTTATAATAATTTAGTACATTCTTCTACTCAAAAAACATCTTTCTTTGCCAATTATGTTATCATCTATGATTTGACACTTTTGACTTTTCAAAAGTTGATAATCATGTGGCAGAAGATGTAAAAAATCAATTATTAGAGCTACATGCAACAATGAAGACATAAATAAAAGAAGCTCAAGAATAAAAAAAAACAACACAGATGTCTATTGCAAGGAACAACCTCAATTCCATGTAAGGGGTAAGATATAGTTACTTTGTCATAATGTTAAAACTATTCATCTTCATGACAAATTGGATTATCGTAGGCTTGAACCATTTTCCATTTATCAACAGATCAATCTAATTGTTTATTGATTATACCTACCAAAGTCTATAAAAATCCATCCTATATTCCATGTATCTTTACTTGAGCCATACAAGACAATGGATATACAAGGAAGGAGACAAATGCCACTACTTCCTATAGAAGTGGACAATAATGAAGAATTTGAGGTAGAAGAAGTCTTAGATTCAAGGCATCATCAAAATAGGTTAGAATACCTTATACATTGGTATAGATATGACATTAATGAATGCACATGGGAGCCATTTAAGAATCTAGAAAATATATCAGCCAAAGTTAAAGCTTTTCATCAATGACTTCCATCAAAACCAAGTTGAAGAGTTAAGAAATTCTTTGCAATAAAGCAAAATAAGCCCTATAGAGATTTCATTCTATCTTGTATTATTATTTCTTTGAATTTTTTAGTACTTAAGAGATAGAGAACCAACAACCAATAGATTTAACTTAAGAACTATCATTTCTTGAGCTACCAGATAAAACATTGCAACTATCACAACCTTTGAGATGGCAAAATTGAGATAAAGATCCTCAAAAATGACATATTCTTCTTCAAATAGATGGTGAGATACAATGCATTTAGTATCAGTGAGACCTTCCTCACTTTTGTCAACTCTTTTCTTACTTTTAGTCTAGTTTTAAGAGTCTTATGTTTTTTAAACTTAGGCAATAGTCATTCTAGTTCTTCCTTGAATATACATACTTTCTTTTATTTTGTCACTTTTCTTTTGACACAAATTCTACAAGTTTACGTATCTTTTTTTAGTTTGTGTCCTTAATAGTAGGTTCTAAAAGATTCTAATAGATTCTAAGAAAGTTCTAGAAGGTCATAGGAGATTTTGGTAGGTTCTAGGATACTTTAGATGATTTAGGAAGTTGTCAAAAAAGGATCTTAGGCTTGCTTTATTTTCATGCCTCATCGAAACTTTTCAAAAAGCTTCCTAGGACCTAGTATATATTTGAGTCGAGGCTGAGGGAATTCTTAGTTTTGAGAACTCACTTCTTGTGGTCTAGCCAAGACCTTCTTAGTTTGTATCTAGTTATTGTTCTAATATTGAGCTATTTCCATTTCTTAGTCTTGAATCTTTATCTTGTATATGGTCTCTAATAAAGATAGTAAATATCTCGAGAAGAAGACAAGTGCCATTTCTTCCTACAAAAGTGGATAATAATCAAGAGTTCGAGGTGGAAGAAGTCTTAGATTCAAGGCAATGCTGAAATAGATTGGAATATCTTGTTCATTGATAAAAATATGATATTAATGAATGCACATGGAAGCTAACAAAGAATCTTATAAATATAGCAAAGAGAGTTGAAGCTTTTCATTAATGATATCCATCAAAATTAAGATGAAGAATAACAAATCTTTATTATAAAAGAAATAAGATTAAAAGAAGATAACACTCTACCTTCTATCCTTCTTTGTTGCTTCTGTGTTGTTAAAGAGATGGAGAATCAACAACCAGCAATTTCAATTTAAGAGCTTTCATTTGTGGACTTATTAGATGAGACATTATGATTGTCACAACCTTGAAGATGATGAAATCAAGATGAAGTTCTTCAAGAATGACATGTTCTTCTTTGAATACATGGCAAGGTATAACATATTTGATATCACGACCTTGGAAGAGACTCCTGATATTTGGTGATTTTATTAGAGGTAGAAATAACTCCCGATGATATTTCAAATATTTTATTTGAAGGAAGTTATAAAGGCTTCAACAATGACTAAATAATAGGGTGGTTTTCTAGCCTTAGTATAGGATACTATCGATGGCCGAGAGGGCCTATCAATCATCTTCAAAGAGAACAAAAATAGGAGTATATGGCAAATACAATTTGCCGCATCTTGGATTTTTTCAATATATAAATATTGCTCTTTGTGGAAGTCATCTCTAGAAGGAGAGGTAATGTCACAAACATATATAGATATTCTAATAAATATCTACATAATTAAGTAGGAGTAGGTAAAAATAGATAAAAATAGTTTAATTTCATAAGATCTTTTAGACGAGCTTCCTAAAAGCTTCATAGATGCTACTTGACTTTATATGTACTTGTAGTTGATTGATAGGTTAGATACTTGGTCAACAAGTTAACCACGTGTTGGTAGCTTGCAAAACAAGCTAACTATGTGGCGCACATATAGAAAACTTGCCTTGTAAGTTAAAATATGTATCTTGCAAAATCAACACATTTTAGAGGTCCTATAAGACATCACCATGTAGCTCCTAATTAAAAGTATATATGGAGGTAAGAGTGAAGTCTTCTTCATTCTTGTCAATGCTTTTTTAATCCTTGGTCTTGTTTCAAGACTTTTTGGTATTCTTATTTTTGGCAATAACCATTTTAATTCAATATTATATCATCTTTGAGTGACTTTCTAGTTCTTTTGAATGATACAAGTGTGTATTGAGGATTTCCTTTCTTTGAGATTCATCTCCTTGACACCAATATAGCAACCTCTTATTGACTTGAATGGTATAACTTTCCAAGCATTATCTCAATATTTAGCTAGTCTTAGGAATATGTCATTTGCATTTCTTCCGAACCTCCACATTAATACATATGGTAATCTCACTCCCCTTTTTGAGGCTTCTATATCTTGGACACTATATAGAAGCTACATGTGGTTGTGTTTCCACATAAAAACAAATACATAGAAGTTGGTCAAAGGTAAAGACAGAGACCAGCCCGAGAGTACTTCACAGAAGATACGTCTGCAAAAAATACCATATCCGTATAAAATACGTAGTACAAAACGTGAAAAATACGGCATGTGATGTTTCAGTAAAAACATCGGATAGGGGTCGGGGATGCCAGATCAGCAAAACTCCACGTCGGATTGCCCAGCAGCAGATTGTGGCTCGATGGGAGCAGCTTGATTAGCTTGGATCGCGGCGATGTCGGTCACGTCGATGAGACGCAGCGATGGTCCACTAAGCAGGATTGGAGGGTGGGGGGATGTTGGTGGGGAAAGTTGCTGCCGGGGCGAGTCTTTCCAACATCAGAGCGTGCATTAACGGTGCATTGAAACTGTAGCAATCTCAGTGTCACCAGATTTGCATTACACAGCAATTTCCCTTCACCACTTACAGACAGATTCAAGGGATAAGCTTGGACGTCGATGCACAGAGCCGATTTGAGCGATGGAGGTGGTCCTACGAGAGCCGGTTTCGCCTCCAGATTCGGCGGGTGGAAGGAGTCGATCAGCCCTGAATGACCCGAAAGCTGCAGTAAAAGCGTAACTGACAGCGCCTGTGGGTGCCTTCAGATGGCACCTCACAGGACTTTTGGCTTATATTCGGGTCGAAAAGACGACCCAGGACAAGGTTGCAGCGCGGATTAAGAGTTGGTTTTAATGGTGAGCGATGTTAATCATTGCAGTGGCTTATCCTGTGCTCTCTTTGGTCGGACGGACCCTGCAACAGCACGTGATGCTTGACGAGATGGTTGAGGCTTGGCAGGCTATTGGACGTCTACACTGTTAATGCTTGTCCTTGCAGGTTGGTTTCAGAGTCGATGTTTCGGTTGCCAAGGGATGGTTATTTACTGAGGTCTGACTGGATTGATGGAGCTCACATGTCGTCTATTTCTAATTTTAGAACGTGACCATTGCAAATTGCCCGAGTTTAATATTCCGTTGTCTCAACGTTGGTCAGCTGTGAAACTGTCTGTAACTTATACGGGATAATAGTGCAAGAACAGAATCGATGCATCGTGTCTTGTACACGCGTACTCTCAGCTGATCCTTTCAGCATGATGAGACAGCGGCAGTTCCATCAAAAAATTCACATGCCGGCTCTACCCACACTCCGCTGTCATTAACTCTATGACTGTTATCAAGAGAAACGAATCTCCGGCACAATAAGTACAAATGCCTGTTAAAGGAAACGGTCCATACACCGATTCTAGCACAGGAAATCAGTGAGAAGACTGCGCTAGCTGCGGCAAGTTGAGAGCTGATCAGAAGAATTTTTTATGCTCAGAGCCTGTGACATTTCGTGTCAGATGCAATTTGTCTGAAATCGAATTGAAGCTATCTGATTCAGACAGCATATGTGTTTGATTTTAGTGCATGTCGTCAAGAGATCTTTGTAGCGCCTTCAAATTTCCAAAGGTTTCTATTTAGAGAACACTGTTACGCATTTCATCGGTATGAAGTTCATTCGGGCATGTGATGTTATACTATTTGTTATGATTGTGGTAGTGTACGAGGTAGGCGGCCGAAGTTGGAGATGTGTGGCTATGGCTGCTAGAACAGATCCTGTGGAGTTGCAAGCTGTCTATGCCATGATGGCTGCAACAGGGAATGGCTGGGCTGCCAGTATCCCCGACGTGTGCGTAAAGAGTGGCCGGTGGCATGGGATAGAATGTGTGCAAGACGGCGATTACTATCACGTGGTGGAACTGTCGTTTGGATTGGTCACAGACCAGGCCACTGCCTTCCCCTCTTGTGCGCAGCACTCCTTCATCTCGCCGGCGGTGGCCAATCTGACACACTTGAGGAAACTGGGATATTTTGCGTGTTGCATGGAAAATCCGCAGCGTATACCCAGTGAGATTGGCCGACTAGGTGACTCTCTCGAAGCGCTACATCTGCGTAACAACGGGCACGTGGGAATCATTCCTGAGGAGCTCGCCGGTCTCATCAAACTGCGGACATTTGATGTGCATGGTAATTCCCTTGCCGGCACGATGCCCATCTGGTTATCCTCGTTAACCGAGCTTGAAGCCATGGATATAAGCGACAATACTTTTGGAGGTGAGGTTGATGGGCGTACCTTCGACAATCTCGAGCGATTGACAGTTTTCGATGCAAGCGACAACGAGTTCGTCGGCGCTCTGCCAGACTCAATTGGTCGACTGAGGACTCTGCAAAAGCTGGATTTGAGCTACAACAATTTCACCGGCGCGATACCCACAACCATAGGCGATCTTAGTCGCCTCCTCTCCCTCAATTTGGCGCACAACAGATTCTCAGGTCCCCTGCCGGAAACGATGAGCAACCTTTCGAACTTAAAATCCTTGGATCTTCAACGCAACTGCTTTCGGGTTCCAATTCCAGCATCATTAGGAAAACTAGTTAAATTGGAGGGTTTGGTGCTTTCAGAATCCGAATTCGTTGGCCCCATTCCAAGCTCTTTCGGTTCTCTTTCCAACATCAGAGCGTTGTTTCTGGATGGCAACAAGCTTACAGGAACCATTCCGCCTGCACTTGGCGATCTGACTCGCGTGTATGAGTTGGAGCTGAGCAGCAATCTCCTGGCTGGGCCTGTGCCATTCTCCTCGAGCTTTGTTTCAAGACTCGGTCGACGACTTCGACTGCAGAACAACGAAGGCTTGTGCTACGAATTCAAGACGGCAGATTCTTTAACAAGTGATCCGGGATCAACCATTCGGCCATCCGAACAACCTCCGCAGCTTAAAATTTGCAGCAGCTCCAGCTCCAACAACCAAAGCGTCGGTTCTTCGGAGTTTTTCCCACCCTCCCATCATCCCTCCATTGCACTAGATTCTGTTGCTCCCGCTGGCAGCTTAAAACCAGCGTTTGAGCCATCCTCCGCCTGCTCTAGGATCTCATATTTGTCGTATCACGCAGTGAAATGTTTCTGGTTCATGACTTTTCTCGTAATCATGTCAAGGTGCTAATCTTCTAACATTGTGAGAGCATGCGAAATGCTGTTGGATATGCGTTGACATTTTTCGTACACAATTCTTCACGTTCGAACAACTTCCCAGACAATTTCGATTTGACCATTTCAACCTTCCCAATGCACCTATATACGAAGCAGAGACCATATAACTGAGGGAACAGGCAGAGAATTCAGAATTTCAAAATCTGAGAAGTGAATGCAAAGAGTACCTACCGACGATTCTTACCCTTGAGAGGTGCTCGTTGGGTGTAATGTTGACAGCCATGGCCGTTCAGTAGTTACAAGAGTGAAAGAGTCTACTTCTCTTCACCAGCAGATTGTGGTCAGGCAAGATTTTTTTTTTTTATAGTACACTGTTGAAATCATATGCAGGCCAACACCCGCTCGAGCTCATCGGAATATAGCGAGAGTTGTCGTCAAATCATTCAACTGATGACCAGCTTCACTACCATGCCGCGGGACCTTCATTCTAGTAGCAGAAATGTACGATAAAGTTACCACTAGGAATAGTCTACAGATTAATTAAGCCGAAAGCTTCTCCTTCTTCATTCGTTTTTCAGCAGCATCGCGTGTGCGCATCACGAGTAGCTACAATCGAGGAATGCATAGATAGGTAAAACACATCATGGTTTGTCGCTCCTTCAAAATTGTCCGTAGCATACTCAGAGCCTATCTCATGGTAAGGTTCCTGTACTGAACTTCTCCAGCAAGGTGACGAGCTTCAGTCTCAACCAGCACCACAAGTGAACTGCACATTTACAATGACTGCCTCAGTGTTCAGGATTGAGAATATTGTCCAGCCATATCTATGAGACTTTATCGTAGCCTTGTTCAAATCAGCATTACTAACGCCAATTTATCAATCCGCATATGTTGTTCATGACACAGTTATATCTCAGCTATAAACGCATCTCACACCATTAGGTTGTATGACTTAAACTGGAGCTTGACTCTTTCCAGTAGGAAATATTGGCATGTGGGCATCGGTCCAAAAGTATGAGTGTTGCAACAATCAAATACGAAAGTACAAGCGCTAGGTGTGCAAGCGATGAGTTCCACGGCGATACTTGCTATATATTTTATACATCAATTCCTTCATGCAAAACCTGGAAACAGTATAATCCTTTTCCAGCTAGCCCTCACTTTCATGCCCAGTACATCGACTCGGAATGCAGCGTACACTAAAATGATAGAACGGGGAATCGCAAGTTGGCTAGCCACTTGGTCATTCATCTCATTATTGTATGGCTCTTCATGATCTCATTTACTCAATGTCCAGCCACAACACCTAAACTTTTGAAAACGGAACCATATGAGGAGTTGCTTTTTGTGCGAATTACAATCTCGCAGCATGTGCCGCAGAAGCCCACTCAATGGCCGATCAAGCAATTCCTAAAATTTACTGCTGTTCTCTTATCCCAGATTGCTTCATTGAATTGGTCGTTAAAGCTAAGTTTTGCAGCTCCGATATAAACACAGTCGATACAGATGATATGAAGCGATCCCCTGCACGTAGCTAGTCCGTTGAGGATCCAGTTGATATGAAGTCTGAGGCGCCTTAATTGGCTCCATCAACAAACTGCATTATGGTTGTTCACTCAGATTACATGTGAGTTCATGGGTCACGGAGAGACCACAGTGAGAGGAAGGAGTTGGCGCCATTTGGCACATGACCCAACTGCCCAGCAACTTTGAAGCTTGATACTTTTAACACGTTACTTCACAATCCGTATCACACCGTCAGCTCCCTCTTTGCAATGAGTTACTCATAGAGAGTATAAATTACACAGCAGCAACAGACCAGGTTGAACCCAGCTTTGAAATTGAGCTCTGACCAAGGCCGCATCATTCACAGCATTTTCCCTCTCTATTTCGGCAAAAGCATCAGCTTTCACTACAATCTCGTCCTCCAGAGCAAGAGTACTGCAGCAACTTGGTTCAAAATTTATTCCCGTTACAAGCGATTCACTAGATATTTTCTTAGCAAGTTGCAGTTCTGAACTGAACCTAATTCCTGGAACTATTTGAGATTGCACAACTGTACATTTTAACATGAGTTATTCAGGGATGGCCAAGTGTATCTCTCTTGAAATCCAGGGGCTGAATGCTACATGCACAAGGCTACACCGCAAGTACACCAGATTTTGAAATTAGAAACTCCTGCAGTTAGCCTAGCACTGCAATGGTTGGATTAGCTTACCTTGTGACGCCAAAGGCTTTCGTGATGCCTAAAGACGCTGGAAATCACAAGAAACACTCTAAATTTTTTCCGTGTGTTCTTAGGAAAATATGCGTTTCCGAAAACTCCATTCACCTCCAGTTACAGCGGAGTTTATCTCGTGTGAAGGGTCCTCACAACCTCTTATGGACACTATTGAAACGTATTTCTCTTGCACAAGCTCCTGTGCAAATCGAAAAAGAATCATTCTCTGCACATGGCTGCTTCTGTGGGATCAGATTGCAGCTTGGATTCACAATTTGGAGACACCTTGAGTGTTTAATGATTAATGAGTTCCATAAGCTAATTAGCTCAAGGGTTTGAGACATAATATGTCCTCTCATAAGCAGCCGCCAACTTGGGGACCTCAAGCCACGGGCAGGGGCTCGATTCATTCCAATTGGGTCATGTTCTACCTCTCCAAAACCTTGCTCAGAACATTCTATTCTAACTGCACTCTCACCAATCCCAGTATTTTGATTACCTACATGTTCTCTGATCCTTCTCAATTGTGAGATCACATCTGGAGTGGTCAGCGTGTTATCCATGAACTGGGCGCTCAATCACTCGTCTTTAGCTCAACTTCTATGTTTTACGAGAAATTGGTTACAATCCAGGTTCCTGAGTAAATTTCAACGCAGTCCGGAGATGTAGAAATGAGGCCTGTTCGGAAGACTTTAATTGAGACAGTGCAATAGTTAGTTGGAAAGGCTCGCCGACAGTTTGGCTTGCAGCTCAGCAATTTCACAATTTTAGAGTTCGCTCTTGCAACTGGTAAAAAAAGGATGGGGAAATGGGATGTCCTAGCAGTGGTGTTTCTAGCGATGATGGTGATGCTGATAGCAGAAGCAGCAGTAGTGAAGTATGACTGGACCGTGGATTACATCACTGCGTCTCCGGACTGCGTTGAGAAGCTAGTTTTGAGCGTCAACAATCAGTTTCCATCACCCACCATCCATGCCATGGAAGGTGACACACTTGTAGTGCGTGTGACGAATGCCATTCCCACTGAAGGTGTTGTGTTCCATTGGCACGGAATTCATCAGGTGAGAGTCTGCCTAAACCTCAATGCTCCTTCAGTGCTTTACATCAGGTGAAGGGAAGACGCGGTGCTGTTGAAAACAGGTTCGCTGTCGTTCTCTGAATCATCACATCATAACTAGTTATGATCAGAGGCTTCTCTTGACCAAACTAAAAATAAAATAAAAAGATGCATCGTACCATCAAACTGAGAATTCTTGTGGCTTGGAAACTGCAGACGACGACACCATTCTTCGACGGCGCGGCTTATGTGTCTCAGTGTCCTATCAACCCCGGAGAGACTTTCACCTATAGATTCACAGTTGAGCGGGTAAGTCTAATTCATCACAGTTCAACTTTGTGATTACATGGAGTCCTGGAGCAGTTAAATCTGATTGCGTATCTTTTTGTGCAGGCCGGAACTTACTTCTATCATGGACATTTCGGCATGCAGCGAGCGGGAGGGCTCTTCGGGTCTCTGATCGTGTCAATATCATTGCACAAGGAGCCGTTCGCGTACGATGGCGAGCACAGCATCATCCTTACCGACTGGTGGCACAAGTCTATCTACGAGCAACAGCTTGGACTTACGAGCATTCCCTTCCGATTTGTGGGCGAGCCTCAGGTTTGTCCGCTACTCTCAATGCAAGCGTTCCATTGAAATGCATGTTTGCAGAATCAGGCTTCGTATGCTCTAATTTCGGAAGATAAAATCATTGATGCTCGGAATCCAGGTCTGATCTTGGGGGTGCTGTGGTTGTGGTGTGCAGTCTTTGCTAATTCAGGGCCGAGGTAGTTACAATTGTACGGGACTCGCTGGAGTTGCTCCTGGTTCCCTCAACTGCATCGTCTGCAACTCCACCAATCCCTTATGTGCTCCACATGTGTTGCCTGTGATGCCTGGAAAGACGTACCGGCTACGCATTGCCAGCGTTGCTTCCTTGTCGTCCCTCAACTTCATTCTTGAGGTAGGTATAAAATTCCTTGAAAATTTAAGAACGAACGCCAGATTCACCTCTCCAATTAGGCGAAGAACTCTACGTTTTAAAATGCATGAAAATTAGGCTTCACGGAGTCTTTAAAATCCTCTCGTCGATCGGAATTTTCAGAAAACTGTGGGAGTCCTAGCCCAATCGTATAAAAGTCGTTGGGCTCAAGACTAAAGTACGGTTACCTCGAATGCTACGCAGGGTCACACATTGACCGTAGTCCAGGCTGATGGACGATACGTGAAGCCATTCCAGGTTGACAACTTGAATGTATACTCTGGGCAGTCGTATGATGTTCTCTTCACAACAAACAAGGAGCCATCGAGGAATTTCTGGGCCGCCGTAAACGTTAGGGGAAGAAAAATGAGCACCCCAACAGGCCTCGCAATCTTGCAGTACCTGCCCAACCCGGCGACCCTTGTGCCTCTCACCCCTACCCCTGTTAGCCCCGCCTGGAATGACACCGCTGCAAGCGTTGCGCAAGCTAAAATGATTCTTGCCAAATTCGGCTACGAGCAGGCACCTCCGCTGAAACCAGACCGCACGGTGACGATCCTCGGCACGCAGAATATGGTGGATGGACACATAAAATGGGCGTTGAATAACATCTCCCACGTGGCGAGACCAACTCCTGTTCTCGCAGCGTTGAAGTACAACATCCGCGGCGCCTTTGACTCCGAACCTCCGCCCGACTTTCCCATCAAGGACTATGACGTGTTCGCGCCGCCCCCCACCAACTACCGAAATGCTACTTCGGGCAGCCCGGTGTATGTGTTCACGAAGGATAGTGTGGTTGACATCATCGTACAAAACGCTAACACCTTAACCCCGAACAATAGCGAGATCCATCCTTGGCACCTTCATGGCCACGACTTCTGGATTCTTGGCTATGGCGAGGGCCAATTCGACCCTGAGAAAGATCCTGCGTTTTTCAACCTGGTGGATCCTCCGGTACGGAACACAGTGGCCGTATTCCCATATGGGTGGGTTGTGATCCGCTTCATCGCCAATAACCCTGGTGCGTGGCCCTTTCACTGCCACATTGAACCGCATTTTCACATGGGTATGGGAACCGTCTTCGCGGAGGGCATCGAACACATTCCCGAGCTTCCGACTCAAACCTTGGGCTGTGGCCTCACAAAGAGATTAATGAGGTTGTAGTCTCCAATTCACTTTGTGATGGTGTCCAATTTTGCCGGCATACTTGTGCTGTATTGAGCTGAGGAAGATGATTTTGTCGATTAGAGTCGACCGATTACGTTCCACCGGAGAACTGTGAAGTCGGTCTGATGGTCACTTGTAAGATAAGGTGGGTAACGGAGATAGTGTTGAGAAAACCTAAATTGATTTTTGACGGAGAGCATCAAACAGGGGAGCCCGAGTATAGAATTCTCTTGAGACTACCGAGATATTTGTTGTCCGCAAGGACCAGAGGTATATGCCATTCATTGACGAGTTGTGATCTCAGATAATTTTTGACTTGAGCGTCCTGACCTCTACGTCTCATTTAAAACCTCTACGTACACGACATGGAACGAAGCGACGGTGAACGTCCACACGAATTTGTGGACCGGCGGGAAAGAAGGGATCAATGCACACCAGAACTTGGAATTACCAACCGACTCGCTGCCTCCCACCCACCCACAAACACACAAACACACACCCGTGCGTTCCAGGTTACTCGCAAGTATTAACCACATCTTTGAGCCCCACTTTCCAGTTCACAGTGTCTACTTCTGCACATGGACCCAGCTATATTGTAGCCTCGAAGGTTGGTCCAAGCCCCCACTTTCTGACTATCTCCGCCGTGTCCTGGTTGGATCTGTTGCCCAAGCTATCAATCCACAACTTGCATCTGTAAAATCGAGATATATATATATATATATATATATATATATAGATTTATTGTATTAACTCAGCTTGGATAATGCGAACATCCACCGACGAGACGTACTCCAACACTTGCTTGGAGTCGAGACGCTGATCTTCTCTCGTGATCGTGTGCCGTTAACACGCACTTGGTTCTTTTTCTTTTTCTTTTCCTTTTTTAATTATTTTTACACAATTAAAGGTATACTTTACTTCGATACGCACTTGGGTTTTGCGTTTGCCAATTGTAGCCCTCAGTTGTACAAACCCCAATGGATTCCCAATTTGGCCTTCCCAACTCACATCTTTTTTGGATGTCAAACAAGGAACGATGTCGTCTCTTTCAAGGGAACTGATGTAGGTGAACCCAAAAATAGAATTTTTATATTAAATAAAAAATATTTTTTTATTGATTATTATTTCTAGAATTTAGATGAGATTAGGAGAATATTCGTACGTTTTAATTTGCCTTGAATAATGTACCTTGATTGAATTTGTCTATTCTAAATTTGAAAAGGTAGTTGACAATTAGTTATTGGATTTCTTTTATAAAATTTATTTTACAAATATAAGAATTGGTTATTTTCAACACAATTCATCCTAACTTATAGTGATATTCCTATTGAGTGTATTAAATAACGTATTAATGCTCAATTTTTGCACATTTTGCAATATATATATATATATATATATATAGATATATAAAGTAGGAATTTGTAAGTACAGTGACATATTAAACTATACATAATTAACTCATTTCATTTTTATTTTTTCCAAAACAAATAAATAATATTTTATAATAATAATACCCTAATATAATAGTATATAATATCTAAAATATAATAGTATAAAATAATTATTAATATTATTATTTTAAGAATTAATTTGAAATTTAAAATGTAAAAATACACATTTTTTGTAAAATCATTAATTCTATAAAATTAAAATATTATTTTTATTTCATTAAAATATCTACAAAATTATAATATATTTAAGATGATAATATTAACAAGATAAAATAATATGTCTCTAAAGAAATAATAACGAATTTTGTTGATATAAGTTGATTAGAAGAATTTAACATAAATGTTTTAAAATGCATAATTTTAAAAAATATAAAAGATTTGAAAATTATTATTTTGAAATCCAATTTATTGTAGTTATTTCAATTTTTAAATATAAATATTTTTTATTTAATTAATTTTTTTCTTTTGATTATATTTATATTTAACTAAATATTTTTGTAATAATATTTTAAAATTAATTTATAGTTCAAAGTTAATATTTGATAAATTTAACATCTCTAAAAGTATAAATACACTTTTATTACGAACACTTATATTAATTAAATTAATAAGATAAATAGAAAATCTACATTTTTGTAAAATATTTTGAGAATTTCTAAATGCATATTTTGTTTACAAATGTTCTTCAATTTACCATATAGCATTACAAACTTTTCTTGGGAATTTTTTGAAACTAAAAAGCTAAAATTTAGTTGTCTTGCAACTTTAAAACTTGTATTACAAACTTCATGGTCTTTAAAAATATTACTACAAAACCATCTTATTAACTAGTGTTTATAGATATATAAATAAAGTTAATTTCAACCTTATCAATGCTTCTTATATGCTTTAATGTTATTTTTAATAAATTTTTATTTTTTCTAATTCATAATAAAACTTAGCCTTTTCTTGGTCTTTATTTATTATTTTTAATCATACATGTATTAGTTATAGTTTTAAAATAAATAAATAGATAGGTATATATATATATATATATATATATATATAAATATATAAGAGTATATGTTAGTAATTCAATTATGTTATATGTATTTTTTCAATTATTCTTGACCAACCACAAGATTTTATTTTAATAAATTTTTATTACACTATCAAAAAAATATCTTTATTATCATCTTATGATATTAAGTATAATTATATTTAAATATATATGTATTTAATTTTTTTTGATGAATCAATATCATTTATATATTATCTAGTAAGAAAAAATATGTAGAAGTTTGCTTAGAAATATGAGTCTTATGGTCCATAAGTCCAAGTTAGAAGACATATGAACAGTGGTTTTCTAGGAGAAAAAAAAACTTTTTAGAAAATTTATTGTAATTGCATGATGAACGTATTGATGGCGATTTTTTCTGCAACTAAAATAGTCATTTTCTTTGGATTATTACAAGAGTTATGTTTGTAATAATTTAACTTGTTACAAACTCAATTAGTCTTGAAATTTACTAACATAATCATACTTTCTTCATAGTTTTTAATGGAGATTGTTCTTCAAGAAAGATATCATAATTGGTTATAAAACAATTTTATCTCTACTAGTTGCACATTTTTTTGTGCAAATCTATAAAATCTACTTACAGAATTTTCTATTCAAAGCATGTTATCTTTTTAAAAGTAAAAAAATATCAAATAGTGAATAAAAACTATACTTGAAAAAAACTATTATTTACTAAATATTAAAAACGTCCCATAATTATATAAGTTTTTTTTCAGTGACAATAAAATTCTCCAATTTTCTCAATAATAATTAATAAAAAATTTAATTTAGTTTTAATACTGAATTCAAACATTTGATTTTTCTATCAATCAAAAGATAATGTTTTCAAGAAAACTTAGTCTCCATTTTTAATATCTTAAAGGAGATCTTTAAAAAAAATCATATAAAACTCGGTTTTCAATTACATTAAATTAAAATTGGATTTTTTTTCTTTTCACTTGCTATTATATTTTAAATGGTAATATATATATATATATATATATATATATATATATATATATATATATTTAATATATCTACTATTTCAAATAAAATTTGAAATTTTTTGTTTTATGATATAATCCAATAAACCACTAAATCAAGATTGTTTTAAAATAAATAGTAGTTTAAAGATCACACACAATTAACAACATGGAGCCTTTGTTTAAATGCAAATCCCAGAAGAGTGTATAAGAGTTTTCAAATTTTTTCACATTGGAGCTATTAAATATTTCTTAAAATAAAATATAATTCTATTGGTATCTAATATGATTTTGAAATAAAAATTCATATTGTGGTTGAAAGTCATATATTGTATTTCATCTTTAAGAACATATAAATTTCTTTTATAAATAAGTTTCATATTAAATCAAATTTATTTAAAATCAACATAATAATTAATTTAAAATTTTATTTACATAATACATACAAATATATTTTTTAAAACATATCTTTCTATTCAAAATTATCTAGATTATTAAATAAAGGAGTGATTTTTTAATTTTTTGAAATATATTAATTTTATATCATATTAATTTTGATTCTAATCATACTAAAATAAATTTATTAAGTTTATATTTAATAAATAAAATACATTGGATTTTGTATTATATATTTTTATTATAATAGGTGCATTTGATAAAAAAAAAATTGATTTTTTTAATTCAATGTATATAAGTTTGAAGATTAAGATTAGCTTCAAAGTTCATAATAAATAATTCTTTGTCATTGTAGATTTATTTCAGAAATAGCATTAATATCCTAAAGACTTTTATAATTCAATCACATATTGTTTTAGTTTCAAGAATCTTAAGTATTTTTTTTGTTCATTTATATCTCAAATTAATATTAAATTCTTTAGGGGAGGCCATGATGGTTGTGAAATGATCCATATAACACTTTGACTACTTTGTGAAGGTTAATTGTGACATTGTAAAAACAATGTTCAAATATAATATCTATATCATATTTTTATTACATATTTATGATAATGTAAAATGTCATGAGTATCTACTTTTGACTAAGATTTAGGTGCCATAAAAGTAAAGATATACATATATATATATATATATATATATTTTTTGTTTTTTTCAACTTTCATAAATGCCTTTGTTTTAATAAATTGAAATTAAAAATTTGAAGGCCTAATGCATAATATTTCTTTTAATTTTTTTTAGATGAAAAAGTAAAAAATAAAGAAGATAATATATTCAATTTAACTTAAAATAGTCAATTTTTAAAATATAATAAGTATAAAATAATAAGTCTCTAATTATAAAAAAGAATAAAGACTTTAATATCTAATAAGGTAGAGGTAGAAACTATATAACTTTTCAGCCTTAAACATAATTTACACCATGAAATAAAATAATAGTTTATGAGATGATGCATGAGAATCCAGCCTCACCTTTCTTGTTGTAATTAATTTTTTTTTATTTCTTTCTTTTTTAGCTTTTTGTAATCTTATTTTGAAAATTTTAATTTAGTCAAAGCTTTTTATAAATTTAAATACAACGTTTGTTATCTCTAGAATAAAACAATATATATATATATATATATATCGACTTAAATTATATGACATTAATTATATATCTTTAATTCTTAATTTTATTTTTGAAAAAATCATAATTTTTGTTACAAAATTGTTAAAGCATTATGCTATAGTTATACAACTTCATGAACAAAACAAACAATCTAATTTTCATACTTCATAGCAAAGTCAATTGTTTGATTAAAATTAAAATTTTAAAAATATGATTACTTCCAACTTTAAATTGTATAACTTTTAAAGAAAATTATGTATATCCATGAATTTTTTCCTTCACAACCCTTAGGTTTATTCATCTTGTTCTTCAAAAGCATGTTGAAAACTGACTTAAAATAAAGCAAGAGAAATTCTCACCGGTACCCAATTTAGATCCCATCCAATTTGAAAATTCAGCACATAATTTGAAAGCATTCCACGTCTGGAAAACTCCAGTCACTTTTCATTTATTTATTTATATTAATTTATACTTTTTTTATTTTTCAAAAAAGCTATCATAGTAAACTGGAAATCAATACACATAACATGAGTGATTCAAGGATATGGCCGACCGAGCCAAACCAGAAGCGATGCATAAGATTCTAGACATTTGGAAGACTGCAGTGGAAACACTGTAAGATCAACAATAGAAGATGAAACCCACACGGACAGGCACACGCATAAACGGAGATGTAGGCCAATGTGGGCGGGGAATGGCTTCTAGTTTCTAAGAAGAGCTAGAACACTAGAAAAGCCGTGGAGGCAGTCTGCCACAGCCTCATCAGAAACACGGAAGCAAGGCACACCGCGGACAAACACATACAGAACTGGGGTGCCAGGCACATGCAGATGCGTGTAACTGCAGAAGGAGACACTCTCACAGCGGGTGGAGATGACGGCACATTAATCCACCCAACACAGCCTGTCGTGTCTAGCTCCATCTGCAAGTCTTTTCTCAGACTCAAGGAAGGAGGAACCAAGGCTGACAAATGCAATGCTGGGACAATAATCGTGCATCGGTACCGCTGTCTCGTAGATCACAGCCCATCACAGCACAGCATTGGGAGTGTAGAGCCAAAGTCACTGGTTGATGAGCTCCGGGACACTCTCGCCGATGGAGAAAGTTTTTACAATCCTCCCCCTGGACTGGCACGGCACCGGAAGTTGAAAAATGGCCCACTAGACTGTTGCGAAAGTTTGTTTTTTTGTCTCTAGAAAGATGGGTTTGTCAGAATGACAGTGTTCGTATCCATGGACCCCGCGCGTCAGTGACAGATGTGTAGAAAAGTGCATGTACTTATTGTGGGCATTACAACATTGACCAAGCCTGGACCTCCAAAAAAAGGCTACAATGTATGCCTTTTTCAATGGGCATCGTGTTGTGATAGTGCACTGAGTTCATGATTTTTCCATTGCTGAGGTCGCACTACGAGCGCCCACTGCCTGGTTATAATGTGCTGAACTAACGTCGTCGAAAGTTTGACTGCGTATCGAATGATCAGAGTAGCGAAATTCTCTTACCCCGGCCGACAAGGGCCTCCCCAAAACTCATGGATGTCTCTTCAAACAAGCACACTCAAGCTTCGCACGAGCACATTAGACTCGCGTAGGATCCGATAGAATCCAAGGATTTTCTGATATAGTCAGGCTGTTCGAAGTTCGCCTGGCTTCAATTTACGGTACAGCTTCAGCTGATGCTGTAAGAGCTGTAGCGCTCTCTTGCCAGGGAAGACTAACATTCCAATCTCCCCCAAGAATCACATGAATCGGAACCCCGACCATGACAGGAGGTTCCTGATCAATATAGTTTCTTGGACCGGGAGAGAGATCGCATGCGCGGATCGATCCAAGCTTCCCCTCGTCTGTGGCTTGAGCTTTTCTCCTCGAGATCAGAATTGACATTCGGAAGGAAGATGCAGTTGGCATCAGTGATGCTGAGCGTGATGCACCACCTTGAAACATAATCTGCGGAAATGAGAATTCGAACGTGAGCTATCAGGTGGTATGATGCTATCTAGACTCCCACTTGCAGTGGAGTCTCGAGTTCTAATGCCAAACAAAGGTCCTAGTTATGCGCATTATCTACAATATCATTGTCCCTAAGATTATTCGGCTTCATTGCACAAAGTATTCGTTGTCTGCAATTATGTGGTCCCAGGAAGCACTGGCCCTGAAAGGAACTCGGATACTTTTTTCAACTCCATCGACTTTGTTATGCATGATGTAGTGTTTATAAAATATGTATAAGTTGTAAAGTGATAATATTATACACATATGTTTGAATTTAGTAGTGGTACAATAAGAATATTAAAGATTTGTTTGGAAGTATTTCCAACTGTTAGGAGGATTCAAAGAAGCAGCTATATCATGGGTCCTATTAAAAAAGTAGTACCTTTTTTGTAGTTTGATCGAATCGCCACACAAGAAGTTCTGATAACAAATAATGGTTGAAAATTAAAAGCTCAGTATATTCCACTGAAGTAGTAACATGCAGCAAAACATGATAGAAGAATTATAACGATGTAGTTTTCAAAATATGGCATCAAACAATTTCGAAAAGAAATATAAAATTTTGTGAAGTTTTAAAAAAAAGATAGTCCAAAATCACTATTTTTGACCAAGATATGAAATGGAGATGAATTGAAATTGAAATCCACATTCCTTAACCAGCCCAACCAAACTTTTTCAAACGATAAAAATAAAATGTGCTTGATGGGAAGATATAATGTTCACGAATCAGTGGGTACTCCTTTGTGTCATATTCTAATAAATCCACGAAGTAAAATTAAGCCTTCTGTTTACGACTGATGAACATTAAGAAGGATATCTATGTTTGAAATAATCCTATTAATAAGTTTTAAAAGTGGAGGAAAATTACCTGGAGTAAGAAGCTCCCAGGTGCAACAAAGTCTTCTTGCACATGACCACCGAGCACTGTAGCTCTCCATGCATGGAGAGCTTTCATGCAGCTCATAATGTGATATTTTCGACGATACTCTCAGGCTCCGAGTTAGAGGTGACGCTCCGACTCAGCTGCAACGGCTGGAGAGAGATCGAATCAGTTGCAGTAGATTGCAGGATGATAGAGATCTTTGGAGAGCCATAGCTTTGTCGTGAGAAGGTCACCTTACTATACATAGCTGGGCCAGGCAAGAAGAGACCAGGGCCATAAGTGGCTTCCTCCTGCAATCGCTGCCCAACACATATCAAACACGAGGCCAGAAAGATATTATAGCTTTTAGCATCGCAAAGACTTTTTTATCGCTTATCCATGAATCGTTTGTCGTCACCCAGGAAACTCCGAACTCCGGGCTCAAGGTCGCGAGATGATGGGAATTCCGACTGATAAGCGCCAGGAGATTTGACGCACGGGACACTAGTGTAGGGGTAATGAGTTTCATATCTGGCGCTTCCATCCGAACCGAGTTTTCTGAGCTTGGAGTGAATTCTATGTCGTGCAGCGGATGAGTGGAGTGGCGAGGACGCGGTGAGTGTTTGGTTTTAGTGAACTCGCGGTTCAATCTGTGGTTGCGGGTGGTGGGTTTGGGTTCGGAAGTCAGTTGGAAGTTGGGGTGATGGAGTCGAGCGCCCCGACACCGCCGTAGTCTATCTTGTAATGGATGTGCACAAGCCTGGGATCTGCTGTCGTCAGTGTAGACTATCAGAATTGGTTGCCAAAGTTGGTATGTGGAGCCCATGTTCTTGCCTCTCCTCAATAAGGCAGGGTTTTTCGATCGAGGCGCTGATCTTTTCGTGATGGCTGATAGAACCCTTTTCCTCTCTTTTTGCAATTCGGGTGTTTGCTTTGATACTAACGTCGTCAGCGGTAATGGTTCCACACACCTAGGTCTGTTGCTCTGTTGAGTGGCACTCTCAAGCTGGTTTAGTCAGAGCCGACGACCTCTTGGGGTTCTCCCGCAAGTGCATTTAGCATATCTTTGGTGGATTCTGCATGCGTCTTCTCTTTGAAGGTCTCCGCTTTACTTGAAACCTCTCCTTACCCACTCAATGTTCCAAACCTTCCCAGAACAAGCCAGAATTACGGTCCTCAGGCTGAGATGATGTAATCCCGAGGATTCATCAGCATTTGGAGGTTACAGAGCTGCTACACATCTCTTTATTCAGGTTATTTGACGTCGACCGAAGGCCCGTCCTAGCGATTTCTCGGTGAGCACGGCGACGTGACACAGGTCTTTGTTCCACTAGGATTTCTTTTTTCTCTAAAATTTCGGGTTTGGCTCACCGCTATTGGCAACTTCATGGGGGTAGAGAAACTGCAACAAAGTATAGCAGGTGGAATGAGCTTCCATTAAGCTCTCAAAACACCGTTCAAGGATGCCATACACGACTAGGGTTTTCCACTCTACAATTTTCGACATTTTGAGTGGAATGGGTTTCTAAAGAGGGGGCCATTCAGACTTTAAGCCTACATGTTACCTCAGAAACTTATGTGACTGAGTAGCAGAAAAAGGTGGTTGACATCCAAGTCGGAAGCGGAGGAGATGGGGACATTGACGTTACCACCTTATTTCAATTTACAAGAAGATTGCAAAGAACTTCGATTATCTTTCAAAGGTGTTGCTTTAAATTCCTTCACTAGCTATTCCTGCTCGTACCACTCACTATGTAAGGAGTTTACGCACATTCAATTCGGAGTTTATTCAGTGGACAAGTCATGCTTGTATGGCACATATCTCGGAGAATCTATCAGATGGTGAGTATGGTGAGGTGGATGAACCGCAGGGCTGGGATGCAATGAGAAGAGAGTGATTGAAATCTTAGGAAGGAGAACGCAGTCCCAGCGACTTGAGATTGCACAGGCTTATCAAACTGTCTATGGGGAGAGCTTGCACAAGCGACTCAAAGCAGCCTTCAATGGCAAGCTTGAGGTCAGTCTAAATTAACAATGTGTTCACGCTCAATTTGAATCTGAGGAGTGCTTTGAGGGACTCAGCTTACATTGAACTTGCAAGAGGGTGGTGTTGGTTTAATCTGTGCTGTAGAAGCTGTTTTTAAGAGTCTTGGATTATGTTTTTACTGGGAGAGAGGAGGGAGGGAAGGGGCCACCATTATCACCTTAGTCCTTCTCTAAGCTCATTTAACTGTCGAATGGTGGTGGTCCTTTGAAACTCCTATAAACTGGACCTTGTTTTCATTGGTTGGGTTTTGTGATGGTGTGAATGGGTATAGAAATGTATACTCCTATGGATGATGGATTCGGCTGAACGTGACGCAATACTTATGTATGAATTGATGAAAATTGGGGGACGAAAGGCTGATCGTGCCCTTATTGGGATAGTGTGTACACGAAATCCAACTCAAATATACGCAATCAAGCAAGCATACTATACCATGTTCAACCAAACTTTAGAGAACCACATCGATGGCACTAATTCACATTTCGTGGAGTTCCAGCATAAGGTGAGTGACTTGGACATTACCTGTGTGCCTGATTAGTGTCGTCAATTTTTTGATATCTTGACTGTTGAATCTTTATTTTTTCTGTACATTTAGTACAAACCTCAAAGCCCTTTCCTGTCCTCCAGAGCAAATGGGCTTTCTGGCGTGGAGGTGAATCCAAGCCGAAGGAAATTCATAAGCGGCCAGTTAGCGTAACTAAGGTAAGCCTACCTGACTGGCGGGATAAGCCACCAAAGTAGGAACTCCAACCAGGTCGTCCATTGTAGATGCAGATCTCAGTAACTGTCAGTATTTTGGACTTTAATCCCACGGAAAAAGGTGAGATCGGTTCCGCCAAAGACAATGTCCGGCTCATTACCGAGCTATTAGTTTATTTCTTTGAGTTTATCAGACTGTTTCTAGTATGTTGCATATGGTCTAGAGTTTTCTTGATAAAAAGAATGTCTAAATTGTTTTCTTTGCATGACGTGCAGCTTCTTTTGGCGCTAGTTCGTGCAAGTCGACCCGAGAACTCAACCGTTGACAGACACATTGCTTTGAATGACGCACACCAACTGAATAAGGTTTTCACTATTGTAGGAAAAGTAGGTAATGAAGACACTTTGATCCGCATTTTTTGTACCCGGAGTGCACAGCAGCTGACTGCTACATTAAATTACTATCATCAACACTACGGCCACGATTTTGAGCAGGTTTGGTTGGTCTGTTTCGTGGTTTGTCTTACAGTTTTTCTAGTTTATTAAATTTGCTTAAATTTGGCCCTATCACCTTATTGGTTTAAAATATAGATGCCCCTTTTGTATCTGGGTTGATGATGATCACTACATGTTGAGATCCAATGTTGTGTATGCAGTCCCTAACGAGGGAAAACTCTGGAGAATTCGAACAAGCGCTGCGATGCACCGTGATATGTTTCCGACAGCCTGCGAAATTTTACGCGGAGGTACTCTTATTCATTCAATTCTATTCCAGTGAGGTTCTTTGACCATCGAAACATGTACATTACTGTGTATGGTGATAGAAAATCATTTCATCAGCAATGCATGCGTCTTTGTATTGACTTGAATACTCTTTGTGCCCAAAAATGTGTATTGATCGGGTTTTTGGCTATAAGCTCATGTTTTGTTGAAAGCATTGGCGTGTTCTAACTGGAAACTTTTTGGTATGTTAACAGGAACTGTGTAATGCATTGGGAGCAGCAGGAACAGACGACGACGCTTTGATTCGGGTGGTAACGACGCGAGCTGAGGTGGACATGCAATATATCAAGTTGGAGTTTACGAACCTAAGCAAGAGAACATTAGAAGAGATGGTTGCCAACGACACAGCTGGTACCTACCGATATTTTCTTCTCACCCTTGTTGGACCTGGAGACCTAGGTCTGTTCAGCCCAAGAACTTCTATTGGCTCAGCATCCTTTTACAGCCCAAGAACTTCGAATGGTTCTCTGACTGCATCTCGTGGTCAGCAATCCATTGGCTCGCACAATGGTTCCGTGGTTTCATACTACACTAGTCCCAGGTCTAGTGGTCAGGGTTCCTTCCAGATTTAACCCAGTCTTTAGGAAACAGGAATCAAGTATGAAATCCTTTTCATCCTTGAAAATTAGTTCGAAATCATACCCTTGTTCAATAGTTTCTCTTTGGACAAGCTCACCTTTAGGACAGGACTCCATTGTACAGAGGGAGTATTGTTTCCAGAGTCATACGCTGCCATCCTGCTAAACTCGTCAGTGTCTATTGCATTATAGTTTACTTATCCCATGAAGGAGTCTAAACAAGAAATCACAGGAGAATTGCTAGTAGTTGCCTTGTACGAGTACTAGAAAAGAGAATGTTATTATATACTGAAATGTGTTGACCTTTGGGACGTAATTTTATCGTCAGTCAAGGATTTCTTATTGAAGGTCCAACAAGGGTGAGACGAAAATTCACGATTCTAGTCTACGAGAAAGTCTGTTATCAACTCATGCACATAGCTTGAGAAAAGCTTTCGGAAAGAGAAAGAAAATTTGACCAAATCTAGTGGAATCTATTGCTACGCATGTTGATAACACAATGTGCATGTCAAGTTTATGCCAAGTACGCAGGAAGTTTTTGATGGTAAATGCACAATTTTTCGTCTCCTCCCATCTTCATGAAGTAAATCTGGCTCATAAGAAGGTTGAACAATACTCTCTACTACCAAAGCGATATTAATATATTCGGTAATTTGCAGCCCTACATGCGAAATACAATATCTTCAACAGTCCCAAATGCCATCAGAACACTTCATTCTAAACCATTTTGAACAGCTCTACCTCAAATTTTAACCCCTCGAATAGTCTTCCCTCAATCCACAGTCAGTCTATTCTGACTCATCTTTTTAGTATTCTATACTAATCTCCACATGGCCCATAATACAGCATCTAGCATTCTTGAAAGTTCAGCAAGGATGAAATGAAGGATGTTCGATTAATTTTTTTCTATAATAGATCACATATACTTCAGTGTGTCGATGAATCAAGACACCAGTACCGAAGCTGGGGGCGCTGGGGCAGCGAGCTTCTCCAATTCTTGGACATACAGATTGGTCCCGCTCATAATGAAGGGCACAAACCGGTCACTACCAGCTTGAGATGGGCTGAACCGAAAAGCCCACCTCACCAGAGTTTTCCCATCTTCTTCCTGCATGGCCTGTGATCACCAAGGAAAAATCGATCTGAATCTCAAATCGTGACAGTTACTCCATTCAGAGCTCTGTTACTGGTCTCTGCAACACAATGGTTTGCCAGAGCTTGACCCACGAATCACCTGATCCATAGCTAGATAGCCACTACTTCGATCAGCTAGGTAGGGAGGCTTGGAAAATAGATGCACAGAATGATAAGAAGGTGCATACGAGATTATTACCTGGAAAGTGGAGTAATAGCCGGGATCTACACCGGTATTGTTCTCAAGAAATTCATAAGAGAATACGTGTTCCGAAGGGTTGATCGCCACCAGCTTCTGCTTCGCCCACTGGGCGGATTCGGTGTCTGTGCGGCCGGGGAGGTTAGTAACCTTCCTAGTGCACCCTGGGACTCGGTTCTCCCCTTCTACAGGCTCAATTGTGAGCAGATTCGGGAATCTAAGGAAGTCAGACGCCACGTCCCACACCTTGTCAATAGGCGCAGATATGCTCTTCTCTACCACACCATTCCAGTGTACAGTCGGACATCCTGGAGCTGCTTCAGCCATCGCACAGACAAGCAACCGTGAATCTCTATTCAAACCAGACTAATGTCGTGATACACACGTAACTTATACCGCCAGCTAACTCTTGATTGTGAGAGCTTGTCTAAGTACTACAATACCTCCGAAGAGACAGTCCCGAGGATGTTGCCACTAACCACGATGAAGAGCAATAAAGGTGAATTAAACATATCTTCAAGTGAGAAACTTTATAGTGGTCGTGGCAATGACCTCGGAGGCATGACCAGCTCATTCATTGCCTGTACAATATAGGTCCTACAAGAGTGGTGCCACTCCTGGGTCCACCGTGGACAAAATCAAAGTTCCTAAAACTTCATAGATGATCAGTGTATGCATGCGTTACGAGGATGATCTTGGCGAAGCTGCAAATAGGCTGTCAACTCAACCGCAGTGTTCGTTTTCAATTCGTGCACAGCTCTGCACAATTGTCTGTACGACAGCGACTGCACAAGATCTCGGTTTCAACAAGTAGAATATACATCGCAGTGCACTTTTCAGTAGTCCTGTTCGTCATACAGCCGACTGAAGTTGCTGGAGGATAAAACAGATAAAAGTAATTAACCCGTGGGCTACAACTAATTTGACAAACTTCGGTGAGAGACTTTAACCGGTGCAAATTTTATAATGTGATGGCTGGTTCTCGTAATCGAATACAAATTAAACAGTTAAGCAACAGGCTAGAGTTCATTCTCCACGGTGAATGGACACGTTTTACAAGAAAGACTAAACGTCCCCCTTATCGCTTTTGAGGTTCTAGGCGACATGACACTAAGTTCTAGAAACACAGTTTCTGTTCTCTAAAGAAGTCACATGTAACTGAGCGGACGGTGGGATGGTCATGTTCTACTGACAGTACAGTGTCTAGCATGAATTACAAGATGCTTCTGTTGAAATAACTCAAATCTGACTTTTCCTTCAAGGTTGAAGAGAAAGATTAGAATAATTAAAAGCTGCTCCAGCTCAGAACAAGGTAGCCTTATCATAGATTTCTGCGGTGATAAGAGGCTTTTGAGCTTGTGTGGATGAGACCAGGTAGCATTAGTCAGAAGAATCTAGCATTGGCCTTTTTCTGACAATTAGCATCCACTTCATATGTTAGACCCAACGCATTCTAGTTAGATATTCTTCAGATTGAAAGTTTTTAAAGTCATTTCCCATAATGCTGGATATCAACAGAATCCAAATGGAAATTTGAAACTAGATATGCGCAAATACATAACTTACCTCATAGAATAGCATCAAATCCTGGTTGTTAGGTCTTACAGAATGAAGAAAAATAAGGTTTGAAACCGTAATCCACTCAATTTTAATGTCGTTTCTTTAAAACAGTTCTGGAAGAAATATTTTTAGGATATTACCATCTGAACATGATCTTGAATACATACTTGTATTCAAGTAAAATTTTCAAGAAGATTTGTGTACAAAAAATAGCATTTTCGATACTTTAAAGTAGAATAAAATGTACGTAGCATTTCTTGAAAAGTTTTTATAGAAGAGATAGTATTCTTTGCCACATTACAGAAAGTTCATTAAGAAATGACTCTCCGTTAATATGCTTTCTAGAGAGCCCAAAGGATGATGTCGTCAAGGAAGAACTCACCTGTAGAGTATCGGTTGGAATGAATCACAACTCACAGCCTCTCGAGGTTAATTTGATGACCTGCCCACCTGTTTTTAATGAGTATAGGACACCGAAACACTGCACATTGGAGGACACTGCAGCTTATTAAACTCTTGAACAATAATTGCGAGACTGCTGGATTCGTTGAGTGAAGAAAAACTCTAGACCTTCAAGACAGGTCCAATTTTGACGTAACGTAAGAGTGGCAGTTACAAGCTGCAGTCAATCAGTCAGGATAAGAAATGCATAGATATTAGCGAATTATTTATATTCGCAATCCTTTTGCCCATTCAGTGAGATCTTGCCAGGCTTAACTATCTCCATGAAGACAACTTACTGGGACTTGAGGTTCACTAGGCACTGTATGAGGTCAGTTTTGTCCCTTCGCATGGCCTAAAAAATTTGGTCCGGGCCGATGTTTCATCTGACAATTTTCGAATTATGGGTGACCATGGGTCCCGTTTGAGTAGAAACCTTCAATCAACCGATGAGAGAAGACGTAGCTGTCTTGCATAGCACACCAACTCATACCAGTTGCAATCCTGTCATTCCAGACGGATATGTTCGTAGATTCTCGACACCAACCTGCATTATGTACTCGCCGGTACCTCAGCCCTTGAGGGCCCTACCGATATATTGGAGTACAGGGTTGGAGGCTTGGAGCTGGTCAATGCACACATTCTACCATAATACCAATACTCTACCACAAATTGAGGGTTACATGCTAGTTGGTGCAGATTCAAGTGCACAGATTCTCACAAAAAGGGCAGAGAATCGTCCGCTAAAATTTGATTGTAGCTACCGATAGAGACATTCAATCTGTCTGCTGATCCCCTGAGCCAAGAGCCAAGTGCAGCCATGAAGTTGTCTTAGCCTAGGCATTGGATGCATTTCGTGATTGCTAGTCAGCCCGGTCCCAGGTCGTCTGTTCTGCATGGCACACCATGTGGACATTTCGCACGAAGCTAAGCTTGGGTTGTGCTGTACAATCCTGTGGGTCAGGGTCACTTGGATCAATCGATCATGATCAAGTCAAGTCAAACCTAATATGAAATCCAAACAAACCTGGCAGATCATGCACATCCAAATTACGTACAAACAAAGCAAGATTACTTACACGCTACAGCCGCCCAAAGATTCCCATTTACTGTATCATTTCAACAGCTCCTCAGAAAATTCGCGCCATATGACCTCGAAAGGACACGGGCATAAAATATTTCTACACACAAGACGGCATTTCATTTGATCAAAGCAAATTTGATCCTTAGAAATGCCTCAGGCTAACTTACGTCTGGAGATAGAGTACTTGCGAATACTTCAATTTCAATCATTCTTACACCCAATATTCTCTTATATAAACGAAATCACCGTCCAACAGTCGATCAGCATGATTCGGTGTTCTGCCGAGAGGACGCAGACAGTGATGATTAAAAAGGCAATGGCGTCCGAAAACCTCAAAAGAACGGCTTGTGAACTTGGCCGAAGAATGAAACCCCAGAGATGACAGCTTGACAGTCAATTTGGATTGGAGTTATCGATCAAATGTGAGGCCAGCGACAGGGGTTCACAGGATGCCACCGTTCACTGCTGAGTTAATCTGTGCCACCGTAATCACACTCAACCCGTGGACGCACAAGACCTTTCTGCGCTCCGATGTAGGATGCAGGCATACGGAGTTTTCACACAATCCACTTCAAGATGATGACCGCAGCTGAGGACAATTCTTGACGCCCTTTACTATCACCAGATGTCAATTTTAGGTCGGGCGTCAGGTTCATCTGAAAGTTTCCAAAGCATGCCGACAAAGGGTTACTGTCCGGTTGACTGATGAATATGCCTCTTGAATGGCAATGCAGGAAATTCAGCACGTTACACAAGTACATATTCAACTACCTAGCGTAGAAACGTTGGCTCTAGATCAATGCAATTACCACCCGTACTAGTAAAATTAAAGAGTTGTTAAGAGGACCATATATGGAAGAAAAGAAAAGTAGGAAGTCTCAATGCTTAACATCAGCAAGATTGCACACAAAGAGAAGTGTCAACACTCTAAATAATGTTAGAAGTAAAATGACTTACTTCTAACATTATTTACTTATAACATAGAGATTACATTTGATGTAGATTACAAAAAAGAAGTATTGAATAAAATGCCTCTTACTTCCAACATTCTTTCCTCATAAAAATAAATAAATTATATTTGATATAAATCACATAATGTCAAGGACACAAATTGGAAGAAGATACATAAAGTCATGGAATTTGTGTCAAAAGGAAAATGACAAAATAGAAGAAAGTATGTATATTCAAGGAAGAATTTAAATGGCTATTGCCAAAGACTAAAAAACATAAGATTCTTGAAACTATATTAAAAAGGAGTTGACAAGAGTGAGGAAGGCCTCACTCTTGCCTCTATATATACTACTTAACTAAGAAATACGTGGCGACATGCTATAGGACCTCTAATATGCATTCAACTTGTAGAACATATGTCTAATTTGCAAGGCAAGTTTCTTAGGTGTGCACCATATGTCTATTGGACTTGAAATTTCCAATGGACTTGTGTAACTAGTTTTGTAAGAACTGAATACCAAACATTCAACATTATGGGCCAGCTGCAAGAAATAGTACATGTACTATACACAGAACCAATATCAACAATAATCAAGTTTTCTTGTGCCACAGCCATAGCTAACTTAGGTTATGTATCTCACTAGAATCTCATAAACAAATTTTCTGGATTTGCAAACACCTGGTTTAAAGCTAAGTAGCGGCCTGAGAAAATTATGCGCTTACTCCCCTAATTGAGAACACATTTTGCGCAAGTTGTCAAGACGAGCTTGTAAGTCACTGTCGATCTTTCCATCATCCGATGCTGGATCTCTTGCTCCCTGAGGTTGAGATATTTTTGACGGTGTAGCTCGCTCAGGAGCTGCTGTTGCATGAGCTGGAGCCGTCAACAACTGAAGCCCACCCACATCAAAATGCACTTAAGTATGAGACGCTCAAAACCCTGACGAGGACCACAAAAAGCTCCCATAATAGACAGTGTTGTGAATAAATGCCAACTCCGCATAATTGCATTAGACAAGACAATTCGCAATATTTACGGGTGACAATATTGCCAGGTTCATATCTAGGTTCTTTAAAAATTTCTTTTTTTTGTTCCTTGAAGTGCCCAGCTCCACTCATGAAAATAATTTCCACAAAGACCTTCAGTTTCCATATTTTCGTTAACACATCAACTTCTTCAGGCATTCACAATGACGACGGATAAGTATAATACTGTAGAGAGCTCTCTATACGGAAACAATTGAGTTATCATGAGAGCTTAGTAACCTGAGAGTCGAGGTCGATGCCAATTTCATCAAGTACTTGACTCACGAGCTCCTCAGTTTCCTCTCCCTCTTCATCTCCATCTAAAGCATTGTCAATAGCATCGCCCATGGCTTCAGTTGTCATTTCCATCTTTTCGTTTTGCCTTTCAAATTCCATCATAATCTTTTGCAATGCAGGTAAATTCATCTGCTTATTCATTTGCCCCATAGCTTTTGTAACGCCCTTCATTGCGTCCTCCATAGCCTGCGTTGACTTCAACAACTTCCGAACCCAAGGTGTAGGTCGCACCACAACCGCCCCATGATACCGAGCAATGTTGCAGACCGCAGCACTCATGTTCTCCTGTAAACAAGGGAGTAATTGCTATGGAATCGCTTGCTTAATTGCGTAGTGACATATCTTGCAGCTGTGATTACAGACCACTGAATTTAGTTATTTGATGTCTAGATCCAATCAAATCCTTCGCAATCACCTAGACTGCGCCATTAAAAGTTCATGCCCAACAGTGATTGATGAAATTAGCACCATGTATGATATGGAAACAAACATTGGTTAGCCTAGAATTAGTTTTCAATTAGTAAAGTTAAGCATGTGAGCTGCTGTTGATGAATTAATAGCACTCATAAAACACGTGCTTTCTTTGCTACCTAGGTGGTGAAAACATTAAAACGATCTCAATTACAATCGATTAGGCTTGACTTTAAAGCACAAACATATTTAACACGTAGCAATGCAAACTGCTGTTGATAACGTGTGTGTCAAGCCAAGAGTCAATGCTTGAAATATCCTCGAGATGAGTTAAAAACCTACCATTTGGCCTTGCTTAGCCGACATTTTTATCTCTACAATCAACTTCTTCTCTTGATTCTGCAAATTTTGTCTCTCGCGCTCTATCTCATGAATAGACTTGAAGAAGTTCTGTCAAACAACCCACAATGCATTACACTCTCATCACGAACAGAGGTCTGTGCTTCTTATAGTTTAAGAATCACGTCCTGGTCGCAAATTAGAGCTCCCAATGTACATTAAATACATTATCCAAAAACGCATATTGCATAGAAAATGAAAACAAAATTATCACCAAGCACAGACGATGATGCTGTCGTCAAATACCTGCGGGAGTTTTCTTCTTTCCAAACAAGTTGAACTCATGGTGACTGAACCTCCTCAACCCAAAGACCTCAGAGTTGTAAGCTTCAGCAAACCTCCCTACCGATGTTTAAGAGTTGTGACAAGTAGACGAGAATCTACGCTTCAAAACAAGCAAACTCTAGCGTGACACTTCCTAAGCACAAGAGGCAATCGCTCGCACACAACATCAAAAACTACGTCCAGACTCTGACCGACCATTTTCCACCAGCAACGCGTATCAATAGTTTCAACCCCCAACGGATCGAATTCCGCCCAATCGCACCACTATCCTCGAAGCAACATCGAAACTCTTTTACTACAAGTCAACGCAAACTCACTACTTTTCAAAAGATAGAAAACTAAAATATGCGACAGATTCGAGTCGGTGACTTGCAAACCAAGTAGAACTCAGTCGGACAAACAATACCAAACCCAGAAGTAACCCAAGAAACAGACTCGCCAGATCATCATCACGCCACATGGTTTCAGAAACTCTTCCCCGTCCCACTTGGCTGTTGAACTGCAGTATGCCACTGTTGCAAAGATTCTATTCTACGATGCTTGTCGAAATTCCCACCCTATATAAGAAAAAAATCAATTATAAATTTTATCACAAGTTTAGGGCTTGGCTTCGAGAAATCTGTTCGACTTATAAGTGGTCAGATGGCCTTCAATTTTTCGTTGGGTATCATGTTTGAGAGGATTTGCAAGCATTATTCCGCGAAAGATGGAAGCATTCGATTGAAATGACGTTTGTTGAAGTCATCGGGCCTTTCTTGGATGTGGATAGCGTCGTCACGCATTGGGTAGTGGAGGATAGTTGCGCAAAGGAAGCAGCTAGTGAGTGAGTCGAGATTGTGTCCACAGCCAATTAATTAAGGAGCAGGTTGCTTCAAAGTTCTAACAGCGTTCGTCGGAAGAGATTTGGTAAGTTGTTCTAGTGACTGGGTTTTGGTATCGGTGTTGGAGGTGGAGAAAGAAGAGGAGATGGGACGGGCGCAGGATGCGTCGATATCCTCCTGCTATACTAGAATATGATGTAGTTACGTAAGATCAACACTGCCATCTTTGTGGATATCTGGTTTGGTTCAATTTTCATGGGCTTTGCTAATAGGCTGCGATAGCGTAGAAAAGTCTAGGCATAAGACGGGATGGTTGCTTATTCTCATATCAGAGGGTATAGTAATCAAGGAAGTAGAATTCAAAACATTTCCTCTAGGAACAAGTGCAAGTTAAACAGCATCAGATGAGAAGACTACTGATGAGAAGGCTTCAACTTCGGTAAGATAATCCAGCCTTGATCTTGACTTATCCATTCTCCAATCATTTGTGGAAACCAGGTCACGTGACCAATAATACACTCTGAATGGCGTCCATCAGTCCCCACTAATGGTGTAGAAACTTTGTTGTTCCTCAAATTATTCGTTCTCCTGTTTGCTAATGCAATGTGGCAGCAGGATGATAGATATGAGATCTCCCATAACATATGCAAGCATCAATCTGCACGCAGTTCAGAGGAATAATGTATACCGTTGAGGACTGGTGTGTGGCTATTGATACCAGTGCTGATGCACGTATTGCCAGGAAACCTTGAGGAGCACCATCAAGCGTGACACGAAATGGATATTCTTCTTGGGAGTTCCAATGTCCACAGCTCCCCACATTATGCGTTCTGTGACCGTGTCCTGCATGGCGTCCCTCAGGGAAGCTCAACGCAAAGCATCCTTAAATTAGAGAACCAATGAGATCTCATGCCTCAATAGACAGAAACTGGAATGATCAAAGGGTGTGAACGACTTGGAAGAGGTATGAAATCACCATGGCCACAATCCATTGAATGTGTTCTAGAACTCCATCTGGATTCCTTCTGCACAATAACTTCAAAAACAATCTACAGCTTTAGCTGTCTTTGAGGTGTTCAGTGCCCAGGGAAACTTTTTTTTTTTAATTTTTTGACACAAATAGTGAGTTACTCTACTCCAAGTAAAATAAAATTATAGTACTGGGCCAGGTCTGGCCAAGTGTATTAAAGTTACTTATGGGTTACTATTTACAAATGAGTTAATCGGACTAGAAAGCTTCCATTCTGGTCAATTGCATTCCCACTTTGCTAGAGTCTGGTTTGTACACCATTGCATGGAGAAAAGCCTAATGACTTTTGTCGCTTATTGCGGCTTGCATTTGGCATTCTTTTGCATATTGAAACTTGTGCTTTTGCCATAGTTAACGAGTTTCAACCAAATTGTGTGAAGAACTTATTTCTATGACCACTGTATTCTTTTGATCCACAAAACCCACATAATAATTTCCCGAAGTAGCAACCAAAATTTGCTCGCCTTCTTGAATCTTCTCAAAATCTTGTATGCAAATATACAATGCTTCCAAGAAGGAGAGAATTGTGGAGGCCTTTAGCTTTTTGTGCATTCAATCTATAACATGTTTTTGATCCCATCCCAAACTTTTTGGTATCATGTTCCTCTTATAATACTCCTAGAAACCTGTTGTGATTGTTATTGGAAAAATACAATAGACTACAATTAATCCATTCCTCATGACACATTAGAGTGAAGTACTTCTAGAATGAGGTCTTTCCATACTAATGCAATTCTATTCCATACTTTTGAATCTTTTCTACTTTGGTACTTTGGTACGATGTCGTGTTGTGGTTTGGCCATTATATGAAAATAATGTAATTATGTACTTAATATATAATTTAATAAGGAACATGGTGAGAGCCATGTTAGTAGATTTTAGTTGGTTGTAGAATATAATTTGATTATTACCTTGAGAAGAGGTTGTTTAAAAAGATTACTATAGAATTTGTGTAACTTTAATTTCTTTTTGATATTAACTTTTAAGATTGGTTTTGGTTGATAATAGCTTTTAAGATTGGTTTTGGTTGATAGTAACTTCTAAATATTTAGAGTCACCTTTGTTAGACATTGGTTACCTTTGAAAACTTATTTTGATTCTTTTATTTGGTATTTAGAGCATAAATTATGAAAATCTTACAAGAAAAAGGATTGAAGAAGGGTTTTGGTAGCAAAGGGAGTAATTAGGGCACCAATATAGATGAATGGAGATGAATGATGAAAATCTCCATTCCTATTGGTCAAAAATCATGACCAATGGGCTTTGAGGAGGCTGCCCGAGGCCATATTAGAGATTAGTGTTAGTTTTTTGGGGCCATTCGAGCTTTGAAGGCTAAATTCAGCAAGTTTAGGTTTTTGGCTATGGTTTTGGTGTAAGTTTTGTATGATTTGAAGTTTATATAAAAGAGATATATGCGCTCAAAGTTAAGGTGTTCATTGGGAGCTATTGTCACTCTTTTTAGTACAACGCACGCGTACAGATAGCAATTGAGGATCGGCGACTGCGATTGGAGAGAGCACTTTTGCGGCTACACTTTCTACATACTTCTTATTGGATTCCAAGTTGAAGTGAAGGAGTTATTGGATATTGAAGTCAGTGCATGCAATCTAAGGGTAGTAAGTGACCCGATTTACTAGTGACTGTGTCTTGAACTATATCTGGAGCAATTTGATGAAGTTTTGGCTCAAAATTTTAGTCAATGCGTAATTTCATTTAAGTAAACTTTTTACATAAGTTTTATGACATTTGAGTATTGGATTCTTGAGATATTAAGAAAATAGTGCTCGGATGCTTGTAAATTAGGGTTTAGAGTGTCTGCTAGGGTTTCTTAGATGCCAGAAGTTCGGAAGTGAATTTGCCGTTGGTTTTTTTAGTGATAAAGGTTAAGGGTGAAATCTACCTATTCTTTAAATTTGAGACAAACTGAACGGTTAGATCAAGAGTTATGAATTTCTAAAGTTTATGACAAGAAAACCCTTTGTTGGAAAAATATGTTTTGAAGGGATTTTGTTATATTTTGAGTTTTATGCAAAATAAAGGAGTTTTGGGAGGCTAAACCAAGACTCATATAAAGGTTTAAGCTACACTCTCTATAGGTAGATATCTAGTATATTCCCAGATAGCAAATCATGCCATATGACAATGGTGAAGAATTCTAAACTTGGTTGCCAATTATCTTTTGTATATGGTTTGTACTCCTTGAGATGGTATTTTAGTAATGTGTGCAGATTTGATTCAATTTTTTTAATTTTTTTAACTATCCATTTGCCTAAAAAGGCCATTCTTGCATCCTAAGGAATGATAAGATTAATTCCACCTTTATTCAAAGGTTGACAACATTGAAGCCATACCACTTTGATACAAGTTCATTGCATCATACATCATGCTAATTAGTTATTTAAAGAAGCTTTAATCTTTGATATACCTCTCTTGATTATTCCCTAAATTGATAAAATGAAGAATATTATAGAAAATAAAATTATATTAACAATTATTCTTCTATTTATAATAATAATTAATTAAGAGCTCCAATATTTTAGTTTTTTGGTAATTTTTTATTATAGGAAGGAGTCAAAGTCTAAGAGGAACAAAGAAATATCAAATAGTGCTCTTAATAATTTTCTCACTTTATTTTTTTTCCATGTGATGCCTAAATCATTTGTCTGTAGAAGCTAGTTTGGTATAGCATAATTCTTCCAATATTCACTTGATTTGTTCTAATTTAGTATTAAGTCTTAGTTTAGACAAAAAGCTTGAAGTGTATATATGGCATGATGTATATTAGACTCTTCTCCAACAAAAGTCAAAGGTATATTATCTACATATTAAGCCATAATTTTTTATTTGAAAACTAAAGATAATTGAATACTTTTTATGAGTCTCAAGCTTTATAATTATTATATAGAAGATTTCTAACATTATAAAGAGTAGATAAGGATCTAATAGGCAACCTTATCTCATTCTTCTTTCTATTAAAAAAGAATTTAAAAAAGACCTACTAATCTTCATACATGCTTTAGCACCTTAAAAAAGTAGCTTAACTATGTGATAAAACTTTCTAAGTAGTCTCATAGCTTCTATTATAGAAAATAAAAATTTCTACTCTATCATTCTTTTATAGATTAGTATTATAAGCTCTTGGGTCACTTTTAGAAGAAGATAGCCTTTGCATATATTGTCTTGTAATATGACTAAATAATCTAGCTTTATAACATCTTAAAAGATTCAATAAAATTCTAAAATAATTTTTTTTGGGCCCTGGAATTTATCTTTACTCATTTCTTATAATATTTTAGTAAATTTATCTAAAATAAGAGGCATCTTAAATTTTTTTTTTCTTCAAGGCTTACCTTGTCAATAACCTCTTGATTAGCTTGGTTTATTACTTCTTTTGAGATTGTTGTAGGAGTGCAAGCTTAATATAACTCGCTATAAAAATTCTAATAAATATGAATTAAACTTTTTAGATGATTTTAGAGTTCGATGCCTTCATCTTCTAATTTTATAATATAGGCCATAGATGGTCTTTCTTATATATCATAGAAAAAATCTTAAGAACATTAATCTAAGCCTTAATTTATTTAATTCTAGATTAAAATTTTTGTCCTACAATTATTTGTCGCTTTAGTTGTTGAAGACAATCGACACATATTGTGAAGCAAGTTTGATAGGTGGCATCTTTGGAGCAAGCTTGTAAGTTATTTGTTGCAATAGAGATTTTTTTTATAGAAGTTCATTCTCACAATTACAAACTATAATTTGGTTTACACAAAATATTTTGTAATAAAAAAGACAAAGTTGTAACTTTTCATAAAACAATTGTGTTAGATGACATTGCCACATCTTTTTGATTTGACATTGGACTTTGATGTCTTCAAGAAATTGACAGCTCATCTTATATAGAGATGTTATTTTTGCCTCTGGCTTTAATAAAATCTATTGTCAAAAAATAAAGTAATTAGAATATGACTTATTCCCAAATATAAAAGATTTTGAATCATCAATAATATTTTTGAAGACACACAATACATATGTACAATCTAATTGTGCTAATATACTACAACCATCTTGCCATCTACTATCCCAACTAAAATCTAAAGTATAAAAGATAAAGAATATATCTTTGACTTGTTGTCATGGACATACACATGTAAGTGAATAATTACCTATATAAATAGGTAGAAGTAAGTAGAAGTAGGTAAATATAAGTTAATTCTATAATATCTTCTATAAAAGCTTTCTAAAAGCTTTTAAGTGTCACGGAAAAAAAAATACAAACTCGAGATCTAACAAGAAATTCAAGAAGAACTAGCAAGAACTAGATTAATCAGATGAATACAAGAACAATACCAGAGAGGTGAACTAGAGCTCCAAGAGATGTGTTGTCGAGACTGAAGAACTCTTCAACCTCGTTTCTAATATATACTCCTATTTAAAAAACTTCTCCAGTAACTTCTATTAATTAGGAAGCTTCTAGAAGGTTCCAGAGACTTGCTTCTAGAAGATTCTAGAAACTTGTCTCTAGAAGGTTTTAGGGACTATGTCCCTAACATCACCCCCTCCTTTAGCTTCGAGGTCTCCAAGAAGTAATGTTATTGTTAATCAGTACCAACACAAGAAAATGAAGATCTGTCGCATAACGTCTGTTATGAACTCCAACTATTGTTCACGACGCAAGTGGTTTATCTGCCCTTGAAGCCAACGGTAGTGGCCTAGTCCTTCAACTTTTGACCAAGCATGAACTTTCGTGTCCTCATTGTGAAATTGTCCTACAAATATGCCTTCTGGTTGACCATCGTAAGCAGGCTCGGACTCAAATACAATCACCAGTAATCGGTTACTTGGTATCCTCCATCGTCATCGTGGTGTAGGCGGTTCTTCATCTCGGAGTTGCCTTCGTGAGCTAATTGGTTGAGATAATCTGACTGGTATAGTATCTATCTCTTGGCTATCCATATCAGAAGACCAAACTATGGCTACTGAAAAAATTCTATTTTATCTTGGAGAAAATAACTACATCAACTACGAATTTTGGTGGTGCTCTCCCCTTTTCTTATATTCTTGGGTGAGCAAGCTTCAGAAAGAAGCTATCGTTGAACCGGCTTAGGTTTATGAGGATGTTGTTGATGAAATCCATGTACCTTTTGTGGCGCATTGGTGAGATTTTCAGCTGGCTCCCACGTTCGCTCATTAATATTGTGGCCGCACCAATGAACAAGATACTCTAACTC